AGTTCGAGACCAGCCTGGCCAACATGGCAAAACCCCGTCTCTACTAAAAATACAAAAATTAGCCAGACATGGTGGCATGTGCTTGTAATCCCAGCTACTCATGAGGCTGAGGCAGGAGAATTGCTTGAATCCAGGAGGTGGAGTTTGCAGTGAGCAGAGATCGCACCACTGCACCCCAGTGTGGGCGACAGAGTGAGACTCCGTGTCAAAACAAACAAACAAACACAAAAACCCAATATGGAAACATTACAAAATCACTGATATAAAATATATAAACGTTAATATTTATTTAGATTTTGAAATGAAATCACAACGTATTAGAAAAAAGAGCTGAAACATCAAGATCACAAACATCTCAAAATCCAGAAAAGTAACATACTATTTGTGTTAACTCTTTGACACTCCTCTATAATACCTTTTTTTTCCTATGTCTTTGTTGTTGTTGTTTTTTAGAGATGGAGTCTTGCTTTGTCACCCAGGCTGGAGTACCATGGTGTAATCATAGCTTGGACTTCAGGGCTCAAGCAATCCTCCTGCCTTAGCCTCCCAGGTAACTGGGATTACAGGCCTGATTTTCCTAGGTTTTTTGGCTGCATCCTTCTTGGTTGCATCTTCATATGATAATAATTTTGTAATATTTTCCATAGAATAAAAAAAAGTATTCCTCTAGCATGATTGATTATAAACTTTTTCTATTATTGATAGTCCAGAAAAGCTTATTTCAGCTTCAGAAGTCATTATTGGTAATGTCATAAAGATATTAGGATTAGTGTCAAATTTAGGACATCAAAATTTCTTCCATATATGAGGTGTAAGATTTTAGGGCATTTTTTCCAGTGCACAGTGATTCATTGAATTGATGACACTTTATACCCCATTTACAGTTAGCTAAATGTTATCTTCATTGATATCAGCATTTTGTGTCAAATCAGCAAGAAATTCTACTCTTTCCCAGTATGGCTTCTCCTCTCCTACCACTTTAGTTGGAATGAAGACGGTTTACATTCAGAAAAGACTAATAATTAAACTCCCTTCTCATAAATGTCTGACCTTTTAAAGGGAATTTATTACAAAATCCTGGGTGCAAAAACATTTGAAGCATTTAGAATGGTTTGGCCTACTGAAGGGAAGCCTGGAGAAGGCAAATAAATAACCACCTTGAAGGATGTGGACATTAGTGGGGGTTAGAACCACCAGGGTGTGTCTGAGACTTTGATTCTGGGGACTGGGGAAAGAATCACGCAGCTGCATAGTTAACAGGTTCTGCAAGTCACTTTGACGCACTAAAATTGATACAATGGATAAGAAAGTCTGTGAGTGAGAACAGCTAAAAATTGCCTCAGTGTGGACTCCAAGTGTGATCTTCACTACTCAAAGTGTGTCCCAGCAGCTGCTGCGGGTGATGGATAGAAATGCAGATTCCCGGGCCTTACCTGGAAGCGTTGAATTAGAATCTGCATTTACCAAAGTTCCAAGTGATTCATGTGCAGGTTATTGTCTAAGAAGCCTGGATTAGAGAGTTGAGAAGGAACTTGCTGATGTGTTCCTCACAGTGCTTGGCACACAGGAGTTACTATCTGTGGAATGCCCTCTGTGTGCCAAGATCCTTGCCTGTCTTAGCTCACTTGGCCTTCACCTCAAGCTTGAAGGTTGAAACAAACATCACCATTTTATAGATGAAGAAACTGAGGCTCAGTCACTTCCCCTTCATAAGTGACAGAGCTAGGAATCAAATCCAGGGATATTTGATTCCAAAGCTTTCAGAGGGAATCAGTAAGTGCTTGTTGAATTACTTATTAATTTTTCATTCAAGCATTCATTAATATTATTATTTATTCATTGAAGAGACTTAGGGTAGGATGAAAATGTGCCTGTCTAGCCTTGGTGTCTCTGCTGCCCTGGGAATGGGAAGGTGACACTTACTCCTCCGCCTTCCCCCTTTCCAAATGCCCTTCTCCATGACTCAGCAAAGAAACCATGGGTCTGAAATCAGAGATGAGGCAAAGAAAACCTCAAAAATGTATTTTTTTTTTTTCCTGGAGGAATTTCCCTTTCATGTCATTCATTCCTCTGCTAGGGAATCCAGGAAGTCTTCGACCTGTGGTTAGCCGGCACTTAAAACAAGGCCTGACAGAAAGCATGCTATATAACTATTGTTATATTATTATTAATTATGGAGCAGTTATTAATACCTGGAGACTTGGGTCAAGTTGTGTTAAACTTCTCTTTCCATTTGTTCTAGTCTCACCCCAGAATTTATGTGAATTCTCAATTATTCATGCTGTAGAGGGCTTAAGGGGGCAACTGCAAATGAGTGAATAAATTAATAAATTAAAAAGCTTGGGTTCCCCTCTGAAATGAGATTATTGTAATGGATGAAGAGGCATGACTCAGTAGATGGCTGATTTGGGAATAACCACATCTAGTCTAGAAGGGGGCTGACCCTCAGAATTTCCAGCTATAGGACAGACAGACCTGCCTAACTAAGAGACAGTTGACTGATAGACTGTGGTAAATTCTGTATGAAGATACACAGACAACAGAAGAAGAACGTAATTTCCTGGTTGGGTGGGGAGGGGAGGGTATGCTTGTGGTTCTCAGCCCTGGATGTGTCTCAGAATCACCTGGAGATAAACATATAGAACCTGGGCGCCATGCCTAAGATTCTGATTTCCAGCTCCGGGAGTATAACAGGGCCATCAGAATTCATGTTTTTTTGAGACAGGGTTTCACTGTCGCCCAGGCTAGAATGCAGTGTTGGCAATCAAGGCTCGTTGCAGCCTCGACCTCCTGGGCTTGAGAGATCCTCCCACCTCAGCCTATAGCTGGGACTGCAGGCATGCACCACCATATCTGGCTGATTTTTTAGTTTTTGTGGCGCTCAGATTTCACTGTGTTGCCCAGAAGGTGGTCATCAGAATTAACAAGCTTACCAGGTGATCGGGATCTAAAGCCAAGCACTAAACATAATAATAATAACAGCACATACTATAAACTAGACATCTTAGGCATTTTCTCTTAGTCTTATAACCATCCCTAAAGGCAATTTATATTATCCTCATTTTACAGGCAGCAACACTGAGGTTTAAGTAATTTGGCCAAGGTCACACAGCACAGCCCATATTTTAATTAAGCTCTCAGTCTAAAGACCTAAGTTATTTTACCATATCCCATGCAGCAGGAGGTCAGCCTGGAAGAATCTTCCCAGAAATTGAAATTAAGATAATTAACTCAGATGTTAAACTCTAAAATCTGTACATAATGGGTCAGACAAAGATATGCAAGTGGATTTAAAGAGACACAAAGGCTCTGAGCTAGTGAAAGTTTGACCTTAACCCTATGGCCTCAATTAACATATCAAAAGGAAGAATGTGTCCTTTGGGGTGGGAGGGCGCTTGGGCCAGTTAGTCTGATACTTTGTGAGCTGAGGGAGGGTTCCTGGCCCCTGCAGCATTGTGATCTGGTATTAACTCTTTTCCGTGGCTTCTGGTTTCTCCTGACCTTCCTGGCTGTTCTGTTTCCTTCCGTTTCTCCACCTACCCCTTAAATGTGGATGTTCCTTGCATTCCACTATCCCTGTATTCCCAGGATGACTGCATCCACGTCAGGGCTCAGCTGCCTGTGCTAAGGACTTCCAGAGGCGTGCACTCCTGAGGTCCTAACTCAAGGCATCAAGGCAATCGGGGGACGTAGGAGAGGTGTTCTCAGACAGGACTGGAGTTCACATCCTAGCTGGGTGCCTTACTGGCTATGGGTCTTAGAAGTTACCTATTATTGCTGGGCGCGGTGGCTCACGCTTGTAATCCCAGCACTTTGGGAGGCCAAAGCAGGCGGATCACAAGGTCAGGAGTTTGAGACCAGCCTGAGCAACATGGTGAAACCTTGTCTCTACTAAAATACAAAAATTAGCCGGGCGTGATGGCAGGCGCCTGTAATCCCAGCTACTCGGGAGACTGAGACAGGAGAATTGCTTGAACCTAGGAGGTGGAGGTTGCAGTGAGCTGAGATCGTGCCACTACATGCCAGCCTGGACAACAAAGAGCGAAACTCTGTCAAAAAATTTAAAAAAGCAACATGTGAAACAGAGAACACTTTCCCCAAATCTGTTCTTCCACTTGGATTCCTATCAGAGGAAATAGAAACACCTTCCATGAAAATTGCCAGCACCAGAAATCCTAGAGTCATCCTGGACCATCCCTCTACTACCAACAAAGGGGGCACTGAGTTCCAGTGATTTCTGTCTCCTCCTGCATTTCTGTTATTGTCACAAGCTGCTCTTGATTCTCACTAGGTTCTTGATTCTCACTAGATTCTCACTAGGTTCTTGCAACAACCTCTTAACTGCTCTCGACTTACTGGTTCCCAAACCTCAATTGCTTAGCACTGAGGGTATGGTTCAGATGAAACCCTGTAACAGCGCTCTGCTCCCTTTAGGGGACAAGTCCAAGTCTCTTGCAGACTCCTGCTGTTGCATGCGCGCGCGCACACACACACACACACATTCTCACACACATTCACACACACTCATGTAGCAGGATGAGCCACAGACAAAACCCCTCAGACACCGCGTTAAAGAAGGAAGGGGTTTATTCAGCCGGGGACATCAGCAGGACGTCTGTCTCAAGAGCCAAGCTCCTCAAGTGAGCAATTCCTGTCCCTTTTAAGGGCTCACAACTCTAAGGAGGTGCATGTGAGAGGGTCGTGATTGATTGAGCAAGCAGGGGGTACGTGACTGGGGGCTGCATGCACCGGTAATTGGATCAGAACAAAACAAGATAGGGATTTTCACAGTGCATTGCTGCACAATGTCTGTAATCTATAGATAACAGAACCAATAGGTCAGGGGTCGATCTTTAACTACCAGGCCCAGGGTGTGGCGCCGGGCTGTCAGCCTGTGGATTTCATTTCTGCCTTTTAGTTTTTACTTCTTCTTTCTTTGGAGGCAGAAATTGATGATATGAGGGGTGGTCTCCTCCCTTATTCCCCCCTTTTGAGACTCTCACTCATTTTATTACTGGGAGTTCTCACTTTCATTTTCACTACCCATGTCTTCTTGCAAGACAGATCGATAGTGATTCATACAGCACACTTGTGCATTATGGTGAACTAAGGTAGCGATGAAGCTTTTTATCATTCGAAGAAGTACAGGTAGCAAACAAGGGAGCAGTAAGTAGGTTCCTTTTACTATTATAACTCTTATTATAAGAGTTTTAAATCCTCCTAGCTCTGGGAGCCATTTTCTAAACATGGCCCTAGGATCAAATCTATGCCACACTTGTACAGGCACATGTGCCAGTTCTGTCATATCTCTAACCATGTTTTCAACTACTTGCCCTTGATTATCTATGTGTAGGCAGCAATTAGTAAGGTTAAATTTCCTACAGACCTCTCTTTCAGCTGCTAGCAAGCAGTCGAGAGCTAATCTATTTTGATAGCATTTCTCATCTGAGTTTCTTGCTGGGCCAGACTAGTCAAGACTCTGCCGGTTTTATTAGTGATTATTTCTAAGACAGCTTGTAACCCTATGATTCGGTTGATCATGTAAATGGGGGTCCGGTATCCCCACAAGCCGTCTTGTGTCCAAGTAGCAGGCCCATAATATTGTATGATTGTCTCAGGGGGCCATTTATCATTTTTTCAATTTCTTATAGCTATGTTCTCTTTTCACGGGAAGCATAGACAGGGAAGCCCAGGAGTTTGCCTGTTTTTATGGGCAGTAGGAAGAAAGATGGTTTAATAGTGCCAATAACACAACTACCTGCCCACTGGTCAGGTAATTTGGCGTAAGCTCTATGCCCACATATCCAGTATAATCCAGTGGGGACTGTCCAGTCCCAGTGGGACTCTGGGTGGGTTCACACAGTCTGCAACTTTGGGAATGTTTTGTTTCTCTTTTACTACTATTAATAGACGCAAAGACTAAATATCAATAAAGGCCAAAACGAGCGAAGAAAGTGGCAGCCTTTTATTTGCAAATATGCATACACTCTCGGACGAGGTTCTCTGGTCCTCAGGTGTGGGGGGCCAGGGAAGTCGCGCCGGCGCTCTCGGGTGATGTTCTCCGGTCCACCAATGTGGGGGGCCGAAGAAGTCACGCCGGCTCCTGCCAGCGGCGGACTTTTATGCCTGGGAGCTGGAAGGGGAGGAGTCTGGGGCGTGTGTGTAGGAGTGGCTTCTTGAATTTCGGTGTCCCCGGCTTGATGTCATTCTGCGCAGGCTAAGTTGATTTGGTTCTTTTCCCCGGCGCGGGAATTTTTCCCGGGCGCAGGAAAATCTGTGATGAAGAACCCAGAAACAACAGGGACTGCTCCATCTTGTTCACCTTCCTCCATCTTGTCCCTTTTCCCTTACCCAAACAGTCCAACCTCTTATTGGTTATAAGAATTTAGGGCGCCGTGGTCTGTCTGGCTGTTTCCTGCTGTTAAGGGGCGTAGTTAGGGTCTGAGGTTGGCAGTTGGGTGTAGGGATGCAGGAGCATTTGGTTGAAGGTGACTCGGGTGATCTCTTGGACCCTGGCTCGGAGAAATTTTATTAGAATGGGAGCAAGACATAACATAAGACAGAGGATTAGTATGGGAATTAGGAATGGAAGCATCTGCTGTACTACAGGCAGCAGCCATACCGGTGGTCCAGGGGTTAAGGGGGCGTTAAATTGTTGAAGCTCCTTTTTGATTTTGTTTAATGTTTGGACATTGGTGTCAACCAGGCCTGATTCATTTATGTAGTAGCAACACTCCTCTCCTAGGAAGAGGCATGTTCCTCCTCTTTCAGCAGTAAGAAGATCTAATGCCTGTCTATTTTGTGCTGCTACCTGGGCCACTGAGGTGATTTGACGTTGTAAAGAGGCTAAGCTTTCAGCTGAAGCCTCTATGGCTGCCTGAACCTGAGTGGAGAGGGTCTGTGTGGATTGAATCGAGTGGGTGAGGGCCCCTGTTCCAAGTCCTGAGGCTACTAGGGACGATGCTAGGGAAACCCCGATAATTAAGGGAAGAAAAACAGCCCGCTTTTGGATGTTATTGCTGGAGCTGAGCTGGGAAGCTAGTTCAGACAATTCTCCTTCGCTATATAGGGTTAAGCTAGGCACTAAAGATACCGGAACGCAAAGGGACTGGGTGATGGAGGTATGGTTAAGAGTTTTAGATAGAGTTTTGTTACACCAAAAGTAGCCTCCAACGGGGGCCCTCTGGGTCCTGCTGGGAGCTTGTGTGCGATCACACCACGAAGAGTTTGGAGTAGAGTAGCAAAAAGGAAGGGTTTGACTCTGTGGATTACGGTATAATGGGACTTGAGGCAAGGATGTTGCTTGAGAGGAGCTGGTAGAGTCGGTGCTGATATTGAAAGCGGTTGGTAGTGGGACTGCCACTAAGGGAGCTTTTCTGAGTGCAGCGCAAAGGAAGCAGTGGGAGAGGTTCCTTACTCCAGCAGCCTGGGTTAAGTTAAGTCCCTGGCGAATAAGTGTTAGCCATGAGAATGGGTCCTCATTGTTAAGGGGGTTTGGGGGGCTTAACAGCTTCTGTATTTTCTGTTCATGAGATTTTACAACTGAGGTTAAATTTTGTAGGGCCTGTACACTCTTAGGAGGATATACTTGTTTACTCTTAGGGAGGGGTACTTGTTGCACGTATATTCTCTTTATTTGGAGGGTTGCGGTGGGATATGAGGACCAAGATGTTGCATATAGTCCACCTTTAACTCCCTGAGCCCACCGGGGGTCCCAGGGATCCTTAATAGTAAGAATATATCCTCCTGATGTTCTATTTCTTACAAAAGGTCGATCATTGGGGGTGCAAATGCCATTTGCACACATTAAACCTATCTCATGCATGTTGCAATAGTTATATGGACACCCCAGGTTGGTTTCTTGCCAGTAGTTCTTACAATTATATTCTGTTTGGTCGTACAAGAAACATATGACTGGGTGGTTGTAGTTGCCGACAGAACTCAGGTGAAAGTTAAGGAGGAGGGCAGCTTGACAGCCCTGGGGGGAGCAATCTGCAGTACCTTGTGTTTGTGAGTGAGCCTGGTTGTCAGTAGACCAGGTTTCAGTTATAGAAAATCTCCATACAAATTTAGGATTAGTAAGGCTAGCAGGAATAATTAGAGTGAACCATAACAGTGGTAACAAAGGTGTAGAGGGTAAGTTCAACATTGCTGAAATCATAAAGGGCACCTTACCAAGCTAGGTCTTCTATGAGAGTAAAATGTTGGGCAGTACCTTGCGTTTGTGAGTGAGCCTGGTTGTCAGTAGACTCACCGAAGAAGAAATTTTCAGAGCGGCACCAGTGGAAAGCTGGAACACTTGTTCGGTGTTGGTGGCTGGTTGGGTTGGGAGCCGGTTCGCTGGGGAGGAGGTTCCTGAGACCCCTAAGGGATGTTGAGGAAGGGTCTCCTCTCAGGTCGGGTTTCGGCACCAGCTGTTTTGTTTCTCTTTTACTACTATTAATAGACACAAAGACTAAATATCAATAAAGGCCAAAACGAGCGAAGAAAGTGGCAGCCTTTTATTTGCAAATATGCATACACTCTCGGACGAGGTTCTCTGGTCCTCAGGTGTGGGGGGCCAGGGAAGTCGCGCCAGCGCTCTCGGTGATGTTCTCCGGTCCACGAATGTGGGGGGACGAAGAAGTCACACCGGCTCCTGCCAGCGGCGGACTTTTATGCCTGGGAGCTGGAAGGGGAGGAGTTTGGGGCGTGTGTGTAGGAGTGCCTTCTTGAATTTCGGTGTCCCCGGCTTGACGTCATTCTGCGCAGGCTCAGTTGATTTGTTTCTTTTCCCGGGCGCAGGAAAATCTGTGATGAAGAACCCAGAAACAACAGGGACTGCTCCATCTTGTTCACCTTCCTCCATCTTGTCCCTTTTCCCTTACCCAAACAGGGAATTTGCTAAATGGATTTCTTTCTGTGTGATTTGAACTCTACCAAGTGACTGTTTCTGTGGTACCATTATACAGTTTCTGTCTCAGACAACTAAGTCGTCCTACGGGTGAGTGAATTCTTTTCCTTCTCTAGCTATGCAATACTGTCCAATAATTGAGGCTTTTAGGACCCAGAAATTATCAGGGTGATTCTTTTGAGCTGGGAATTCATCAGGAACTGGGTCTGTAGGTACTAATTCTTGGGCTTCCGATGGCCATTGATCTCTTATTTCAGTTCCTCCACATACATAACATGAAGTGACATTGAGAGACTGTGCTACATGCTAGGCTAACTGCGAAAACAAATTTCTTGTTTTTCCTGGAATTTCTGGTACTGGCACATTTAGTTTATCATAGAAGGTTTGAAATACTGGCTCAGGACAGCATTTATTTATTTATTTATTTATTTATTTATTTTTTTGAGACAGAGTCTCGCTCTGTCGCCCAGGCTGGAGTGCAGTGGCCAGATCTCAGCTCACTGCAAGCTCCGCCTCCCGGGTTCACGCCATTCTCCTGCCTCAGCCTCCCGAGTAGCTGGGACTACAGGCGCCCGCCACCGTGCCCGGCTAGTTTTTTGTATTTTTAGTAGAGACGGGGTTTCACCGTGTTAGCCAGGATGGTCTCGATCTCCTGACCTCGTGATCCGCCCATCTCGGCCTCCCAAAGTGCTGGGATTACAGGCTTGAGCCACCGCGCCCGGCCAGGACAGCATTTATAAACTTCTTTTCAAACCAGGATATTACTTGAAGATCCAGTCTAGCTCCATCAATTTTTAAGTTTACACGTTCCCCTTTTTTTTCCAGCAAGGATCAAGGGGATTGGTTATTACTAGCTCTAAGGGGTTACATTGTCCCTTAGTACAGGAAGGGCCATTTTTTCCTTTCTGAAGGTAGACTGGATCCTTTTCATCTTTTATCCAAGTGGCCCAAATGACACAAGACCAGTGTCCACATTCATTTTCACATAGTCCTAACTCATGACAAATGTAGTTATTTTTGGTCACATAGCCTTTTCCCAACTAAAAGAGCCACCCCTTCCCAACTTATTACTATTAATGACAGCACAGGCATCACATTTTAAGGTGACTTGTTTGGGCACCCCTTTTTCTTCTGTTTTGGCTAACACTTCACTCGTATCATTTATGAACCCCTACCAGTCTTCAGTTCTTAATCTTATTTCAAAACCTGTGGTCATGGGAGGCTCAGATGGGTCATAATACACATCAGGTTGGTCATTTCCTGGGCTACATACCTTGTGTAGAATAACATTATGCAAACAAGTTCTTTTTAGAGTTCCAGTACACTTATAATAACTGTAAAATAATTGGACCGTAGGCCGGGTGCGGTGGCTCACACCTGTAATCCCAGCACTTTGGGAGGCTGAGGCAGGTGGATCACGAGGTCAGAAGATTGAGACCATCCTGGCTAACACGGTGAAACCCCATCTCTACTAAAAAAAAAAAAATGCAAAAAATTAGCCGGGCGTGGCCACGGGTGCCTGTAGTCCCAGCTACTTGGGAGGCTGAGGTAGGAGAATGGTGTGAACCCTGAAGGCGGAGCTTGCAGTGAGCTGAGATCATGCCACTGCACTCCAGCCTGGGCGACAGAGCAAGACTCCGTCTCAAAAAAAAAAAAGTAATAATAATAATAATAGGACCGTAGCAACCTTTTGTCCCACCTCAGTGACTTGATGTATACACTGGGAATAGCCCTTAGTCTGAGGAAGGTCAGTTGAAGTCCTTACTGTACAAGTTCAAATTTTAAGGAAGATGAGTCCTGAGATGAGTTTCCTTGTGCTTCGGCCGTGCATGGACCAGTCAGCTTCTCGGTGTGACTGGAGCAGGGCTTGTCGTCTTCTTCAGAGTCACTTTGCAGGGGTTGGTGAAACTGTTCCCATCCATGTACCGCTTACAGTCTACTCATGTTCAAGGATAGTCTCGGAGGTTGGGCCTGCTAGAATAAACTGAGTCGAACACCTTTACACAGTTATGTTTAACTGGGCTCTCTGATACTGGAAGCAAGGTGGTGGGGTTTAGGATGTTGCACACTTCAGTGGTTATGTGGGGATTTTCACATAGCAAGCTTTGGTACTTGGTTAATCTAGCATTTGTTAACCAATGATGTCCTTTGGTATTTATTAAAGTTACCACAGCATGGGGGGCCTTTATATTCAGGTTTTGCCCAAGGGTTAGTTTATCTGCTTCTTGTACTAACAGGACCTTTGCTGCTAGGGCCCTTAGACCTGAGAGCCAGCCTTTGGAAACCTTGTCTAGTTGTTTTGAGAGATAGGCCACTGGCTTTGACCAGGGCCCCACAGTCTGGGTTAAAACTCCAACTGCCATTTTTTCTCTTTCTGACACATAGAGCGTAAAGAGTTTTGTCAGATCAGGTAGCCTCAGGGCTGGGGCCAACATGAGTTTTTCTTTTAACTCATGAAAAGCTTGTTGCTGTTGGTTGTAATAGATGTAGTTGATCTAATCTACATTTTTATTAACTGTCACCTACAAAAATATTGACTCAAATCCTTCAACTATTTGATTTCAAGCTTTAAATTGATCTGGTATTCCTCGTGGGACTCCAACTGCATCTAAATAGACATGAGAGTCGAAAGACCCATAAGGGGCTTCTCTCGCTTTACGATGTCTTATTTTTTTTCCTTCTGGTTGATAAAATGCCAGGGTGAAAGGGATAGCCAATTGGACTAAAGCACAAGTGCCACTCTAGTTATTCGGCAGAGGGCCCAGTAAAGGTCCACCACAATACCACCACACATCTGCTCAGGGATGAACAAGGGCTGACTGGTTGATAAGCTCTTGAAAATTCTTAAGCTCACTGCATCCTTTCAGGTCTCCAAGGAATGCTAAGTTTCCTCCCTGCTGTGAGAGACATGAAGTGAACTTAGTGTTGGCAGACGGAAGCTGGATGGCCCTCGGGGGCTGAACCACAGGGTGCTGGACTTTGGGATATAGCAGAGAGAACTTGGCATGACTTACTACTCCAGGCTGTAGAATCCTGGAAAAGAGCTACCATGCAGCCTATCCCTGGTCGACTGGAGGACCACCTTAGTGGAAGGGGGACAATCTGGGCCTCTGGCCTGCCATGTGCACAAACATAACAATTGCTTTTGTTTAACGTGCAGATGGAATATTTGATCCATTTTAACCAGGCATTTGCATCTTGGTATCCTGTCTTAACTGCTAAAGTTTGTTTTAAGTTTTTTTTTTTTTTTTTTTTTTT